AAAAAACAAAAGGAAAATATGAGTTTGAAACGTCCTGTATTTATTCCTTTCAAATTATTGTTGCATTTTCTTTTATCTGAGTGTATACATTGATGTTTGTACACTTATTAAAAAAAAACATAAGGCATTTTGCTTATAATACATTATAAACCAATACCTGCAAACTAAAGTAACAGAATTCTTTTATTAGGAATAACAAGGTTTACAAGAATTCTATAATATATTAAGCCATTGCCGACGGGGAAAATGAATAAAAAAAGGGGAAAATGCTGTGCTCATTGTTTATATTTTTTGTGAAATGTCTCTACACACAGATGGCTCTGCCTTACCTGATTTCACTTTTCCTTGAATTGGCGGGAAAATGTACTTTTTACTAGTGCTATGAAGATCGATGGTGTTATTTTTATTATAAACATTATAATTAATATAATGTTATAAACTTTAGTAGTAGCAAAATAAGATAATGTAAAATATTTTTGTAAATTATAGAAAAGGGTAAACGGGCGAGACAGGCAGTACTCTTAATTGGCTCATTGGTGATTCAGTACAAGTGTAGCCATCTATGTGTAAAACAATCAAACAAGTAAACTCGCAGTGGGCATGGCATGTACGTACATGCCATGCCAGTCGGGAAAGGATTAACTCATTACTGCCGGGAAAATGCTGGGTTCATTTTAAATCTTTTTGTGGCTCTGCTAGTGCTTAGTAACAAGACCTTGTGACCTTACCTGATTTCACCTTTTCTTGAATTTGCAAGAAAAACTTTTTTTTGTAATGCTATGAATATCGATGGTGTTATTTTTATTATAGTCAAAATAATTATTATAATGTTATGACATTAGTAACTGCAATATAAGATAACAAAATATTTTTAAAAATCAAGGAAAAGGACAAATAGGTGAGACAGGTAGTATTCGTAACTGCCTCATTAGTGACTTAGTACTTGTGTAGCCATGCATATATATAAACAATTAATAAGATAAACTCACAGTGGGCATGGCATGTATGTAAATGCCATGCCCATTGGTTATGGGTTAAGTACCAGGAGGGATGTTCATAAAATATAACTGCTAATATAACTGGAGAAAAAATAAAAAAATAAAAACATAAAAACATATGAACTTTATCTACTTTATCTACTTATGAAGGCTACTCTCACTTCCTCTTCTCCTAGAGAGTTTGCCTTTCTATTCCCTTAATTTAAATAATTCAGTGAGTGAAGTGGGAAGAAGAAAAGGCCATAGAAATATTGTAAGAAAGGATAAAGTTATGTAATGAATTACTGCCAACTGATTCTTATCTTAAAAACTAGGATTTAGATACTTAGTAAACCAGCCTATGATAAAATTTTGGCTTTTTATTCTCTCTTTTCAGAAAAATAAGATTGGCTAATCTTACCCATTTGGATAGCTAAAACAGAAATATATATATATATATATATATATATATATATATATATATATATATATATATATATATATATATACACACACATATATATAATACAACTAAAGTAAATAAAAATCAAAAGAAATGTATCTGTACATGTGGCACATTTATCCTGACTTACCTTACAGAGAATCAAATCCTTGAGCCCAATCCCCAACCCAACTTCTGCCATGACTTCTGAAGATGTTAAATACTCTACAATAGATCTGAGGACAAACAAGGGAAGTTAAGATTATGACCAACTGAATTAACAAACAATAAAAATTAAGATACCAACAAAGAATATTCATGACCTATTACTTCTATATTGAGAAGGCTGCTATTGTCAAATTTCCAAAAATATAATGTTGAGTTAAATATGAGTACTTTCTTATTACAGCAACTGAAGAAAAAAAAAAAAAAATAAAAACATAAAAACATATGAACTTTATCTACTTTATCTACTTATGTAGGCTACTCTCACTTCCTCTTCTCCTATAGAGTTTGCCTTTCAATTCCTTTAGTTTAAATAATTCAGTGGATGAAGTGGGAAGAAGAAAAGGCCATAGAAATATTGTAAGAAAGGATAAAGTTATGTAATGAATTACTGCCAACTGATTCTTATCTTAAAAACTAGGATTTAGATACTTAGTAAACCAGCCTATGATAAAATTTTGGCTTTTTATTTCTCTCTTTTCAGAAAAATAAGATTGGCTAATCTTACCCATTTGGATAGCTAAAACAGAAATATATATATATATATATATATATATATATATATATATATATATATATATATATATATATATATATATACATACATATATATAATACAATTAAAGTAAATAAAAAACAAAAGAAATGTATCTGTACATGTGGCACATTTATCCTGACTTACCTTACAGAGAATCAAATCCTTAAGCCCAATCCCCAACCCAACTTCTGCCATGACTTCTGAAGATGTTAAATACTCTACAATAGATCTGAGGACAAACAAGGAAAGTTAAGATTATGACCAATTGAATTAACAAACAATAAAAATTAAGATACCAACAAAGAATATTTATGACCTATTACTTCTATATTGAGAAGGCTGCTATTGTCAAATTTCCAAAAAATCTAATGTTGAGTAAAATATGAGTACTTTCTTATTACATCAACTGAAAAGAAAAAAGAAGAAGAAAAAAAAACATATACAATCTGAAAGAAGAAAAACAACTAAAGAACTAAAACTGAAGAAGTTAAACAATGCCAAAACTGGCTTTACACATCAAACAAGGTGAACTTCTAAATGTGTATGTAATTTTGTATATCAATTCTCTAAGTCTAAGACTGAAAAACCCAAGTATCTCACACTTCAAAACACTGCTTCTTGTAACATTCCCTGCAATCTTGTACCTCTTCTAGTAACGGATTTCCTTCATAAAATAGTTCCTATACAATGGCAACTTTTTGTGTACTGAATTTGTCAATTAATATTGTATTAGTGCATTTCCGGTATCAAATTAATATAATAGAAAAATATGAGGGTTAATCTTTATGGTATGGATGCACAAAGGCAGGCAAATTGTAGAAGACAAAAAGTTGCAATTATTGGTGCAAGAAATAATCTACAGACATGAATGCTAACACCATAAGTAAAGGATAAATTTCATGGAAGGCAACACAGCCTAAGTTTTAGCTCTATCTTGCTGTGTATACAGAGGTGAAGACAATGCCTTTTGAGGAGTCCCCCATCAACCCTCCCCTCAGGCAGTGCCCAAAGGGCAACTCTAGTCATGCCAATTTAGATTGTTGAATAAAGCTTGTGATGGGGAGTTGGGGACTTAGTCTATGGCTAGTGCACCCATATACTGTAAAAAAATACCAAGATCTGCTTAAAAAAAAAGAAACAAATAAATATTAATTGATTAATGAATAAGAAACATCCAAATTACCTGATACCCTCCTCAGGGAACAAAGGGAGAGCTGAGCGCAAATACTTTATTGAGTAGTCTGCTATAATGTGAGAACCTGCTGTTGCAAGTTCATTGTTGCTACTCATAGTCAAGGCAGGTTCAGGGACACCCAACTCTTGCTGGCGTACTCTTTCCTGACTGATGTAAGAGGAATCAGTCAATGCTTCTCTGAGTATGTTGTTGTCAAACTGTTCACCAAGCCTCTTGCCAAATGCATAAATTTCAGCATCATAGTTCCTGCAGAAGGGGGTTATGATTTAGGGCATGTAACTTAACTATCATATTAACATATGAGAAATTAGTGATACTTACAAAGATCATTAAAGTAACAGGCTTTACTATATATCTTGCAGACCTATATGTGTATTTCATTGCACTCTGTGCAATCATAGATTACTTTTTCTCTCTACTAATGAATTACTTAAAAATGGGACAAACTGAATAAAAAAATTAACTTACCATTCAATGTACTCAGAACGTTTGAATTGATGTGTAATACCCATTTTTTCCATTTTCTTTTGTCTTTTTAGTAACTCTTTCCTGTATGGTGCAACCCAACGGGATTTTATTCCAAACATACATGCTGAAACAGAGTACCATGAATTACATTAACAAATATTCACATACTGGTATTTTGTCCAAATTTTAAGGTATCAATGGGATTATTTCCTGAATATGAATGTGCATAACTGTTAATACAGACAGAAAATACAAAAAAATGGAAAGAAATGCAATTATCCTTTACATTTCTACAGTAAGAAAATCTTAAAATTTTTCATTTACTTTATCTTCATAATAATTTATATAATATCTACAACTTGTCTTCAATTGAAATGTGAATTTGATATGTAAAAAAAAAAAAATAATAATACATAAATACTTGTAACTCAAGTTTATAGTACTGTGTAATCTTATAACAGTTGATCTTCTTTCTTCTCTGTCCTGTATCTCCTTAATTTTTGATTTGTGCACCTTTTGCAATAGATGAATAGTGCCTTAGTTTTTGCCATGGTAACCACTCCATGCACTTTTTAAATGTAATCCTGGTTGTCATGAAAGGTAAACTTTCATTTATAATTGACGAAAAATTAAACACAAGTACGATACAGAATTCATATATTATAGTATAATTTAAAGTAGCAATATCTAACTGAAAGCAAAACTTGAATAAACATCCTTCATATTACGTACAAAAACACTGTGAGAAAAAAAAATAATAAAAAATAAAATAAAATAAAACTGGGAAGCAAGCAGCGTCTGCAACACCAGAACCGTCGCGTTAAAATCAAAGAGAATAAGCAAATGAGAACCAAATAAAAAGAGTAACAAATCCCTCTCATAATAATCCTAAATTACCTGAAGTAGTGATATTCCTAGAGGCGGCAACAGCTGGCAAAACCCTGAAAAGGGAAGAGGTTTTGCCAAAGACCGACATCATCTCCACGTTTGTTTTGATTGCGGAGTATAAGTCCCTGAAATTCCCCTTCTATAAGTAACATGAACCTCAAACAAATGACAATCAGAAACGGATCTTCAAATCGGATACTAATAAAAGGCATCGGAATATCCAAAGTTACCGTGATAAGAGTGATAAGGTATTTATCACAGCAGACGAGCTCGAAGAAGAAACCCGAAGGACTTCAATGAGATAAACTTTCCCATTTTCAAACGTACAATTCGTAATTACATAAAGTATTCCTGACGAAATGAGCAAATTACTCAGAATGGTCATCCTCGGAGCGCCGGGATCGGGAAAAGGGACGATATCCAGCAGAATTGTCCGGGATTTTGGGTTGAAACACCTGTCAAGTGGAGACATACTCAGGGCACAGATCCTCAAGAAAACCGGTGAGATTTTGTGATTTTTTGGAAAATGCGAACAAGACACTTCAGGTGATGGGCGTAGGTCGATTTTATATTCATTGATGAGGTATGGAGTCGTAAATAAATAGAGTTATGATAGAATTAAAGGGTATATTTATCAAAATATATAGCAGTCCATCTAGAATTATTCTTGTTATTTGCCTTGATTATGCAACAAATATGTCTTAAATAAGTGTATCCCACCATATGACATTTTAAACTCTCAGAGATTTCTGTAGCAACAGAAATGGAGCATTAACTGTGCGGTCTTTTTAGGTGGTCTTCTTTTAATGACCTCAAAAAGACTTGTTCATAGCATGATAATTCTTTAATGTATGGAGATTTCTTTGATATTTGGAGATCAGGCCATAACTTATGCTCCTTGCATTTAGGTGAAAGTTTATATATGATATCATATATACTATTATTATACTAATACAATTCTGCATTTATTGCCTGTTAATTTATTGCTTTGTCTATATGCTGTGTGTAATAATGATGAACTTCTAGTGCTACTTACTCATAATACATTATAATGGATTAATGTCTGTTGAGAATGAATCTCCAATTGATTCAGTGACTATTTTAGTGGTTATATTTTAGTCCCTTTTGATTGTTGTTCAAGATTGATCTAGCAGAAAATTGCTGCCATTATCAATTTCATTAACCTTCCCGCAGAAATCGGCCTTGCTGCGCAGTCTTACATGAAAGGAGGGCAGCTGGTGCCTGATGATGTTATGGTGAAACTCATATCCTCGGAACTATCAGGGTTGAACGCCTCACCCTGGCTCCTGGATGGCTTTCCACGCACACGTCCACAGGCTGAGGCTCTGCACAACAATCAGAAGGTGAGTTGAGGAGTTATGGTTTGTGGAAAGGTACATTATTTATTGATAGAAATAGATAAGGCAAAGTATAAAAAATCGTTGGGTTCTTGTATCCCAACTAATTTTAATTTGTTGTTCACATTCACATATGAAAATTATGAAATATGTTATATTATATTTGTTATATGCATTGCATTGTTAATTCTAATTTATTATTGAAATGGATTAGCAAGGTGTGTAT